AATTTCTTTTTTTATTTCTTCCTGGACCCATGAATTGTGCAATTGGGTGTTACTTAATTTCCATGAGTTTGTAGGTTTTCTGTAATTCGTGTTGTTCTTCAATTCTAACTTTAAAGCAGGGTAGTCTGATAAGATACAGGGGGTTATTTCAAATTTTTGGACCTGTTGAGGTTTGCTATGCTGCCAAGTATGTGGTCGATTTTAGAGAAGTTGAAGTCTGTGATTTGAGTTTTAGTAATGTTTCTTTTAGAAACGTGGATGCCTTTGTATTTGGGGCATAATTGTTCAGAATTGAGACTTCCTCCTGATGGATTTCTCCTGTGATGAGTAGGAAATGACCTTCTTCATCTCTTTTGACTGATTTTAGTTTAAAGTCCAATTTGTTGGATATTATGATTGCTATCCCGCTTGTTTCTTGGGTCCATTTGACTGGAAAATCTTTCCCCAACCTTTAATTCTTAGGTACCCTCTGTCTTTGAAGTTGAGGTGTGTTTCTTGCATGTAGCAGAAGGAAGGATTTTTTATTAAATCTTCTTTTTTTAGGGGGGAAGTTAAGACCATTAATATTGATGGATATTAATGACCATTGATTATTGCTGTTCATTGTTTGTTTTTGATTTGGTGATGGTGGTGAGATTATGTGTGGGATTCTATCCCTTTTTCCTTTTGGCTGTTGGTAAAGTGGGGTTATCTATTGCCTATATTTTCTGGTTGTAGTTAACTTCCTTGGGTTGCAGTTTTCCTTCCAGAACTTTCTGTAGGGCTGGATTGGTGGATATGTATTGTGTGAATCTGGTTTTGTCGTGGAATAACTTGTTTCTCCATCTATATTGATTGAAAGCTTTGCTGAGTATAATAGTCTGTGTTGGCATTCATTGTCTCTTAGTGTAGATAGAGTATCTATCCAGGACCTTCTGGCTTTCAGAGTTTCCAGGGAAAAGTCAGGTGTGATTCTGATAGGTTTGCCTTTATAGGTTACTTGACCTTTTTCCTTTGCTGCTCTTAATATTTTCTCTTTGTTCTGTATGTTTGGTGTTTTGATTATTATGTGGCGAGAAGACCTTTTTTTTTGGTTCAGTCTATTTGGTGTTCTGTAGGCTTCTTGTATTTTCATTGGCATGTCTTTCTTTAGGTTGGGAAAGTTTTCTTCTATGATTTTGTTGAATATGTTTTCTGCGCCTTTGAGTTGGATTTCTTCACTTTCTTCTATACCTATTATTCTTAGGTTTGGTCTTTTCACGGTATCCCATATTTCCTGGATATTTTGTGTTAGGGATTTGTTGGACTTAAGATTTTCTTTGGTTGATGAATCTATTTCTGCTAGTGTGTCCATGTTGGATTTCCAAAGAAGTAGGATCTAATGTCAGTGAAGGAATGCTCAGCAGCAGTGGAGATGAACTTGCTAGTGAGAATGAAGACAAGCTGCAAAAAGCCAGAGTGTCCTTCCATATCCTATTTATTTATTTATTCATTAGATATAGGGTCTCACTGTGTGGCTATGATTGCTTAGAACTCACTCTGTAGACCAGGCTGGCCTCAAAGTCACAGAGGTTCACCTGCCTGTTTCTGGAGTGCTGGGATTACAGGCATGTGCCACCACACCCTGCTCGTTTATCATCTAGCAAACAGCCCACCTGACAAAATTCTGCTACCAAGAAGATGTGCTTGATTCTGTTCTTTTGTTGTTCACAGTTCCTTTTTAAGCTTTTGTCAGATTTTACGAGGAAATTCTTGCCAAACATTTGGGCACTACATGTTAATGGAAGTTTCTGTCCTGCCCCATTCTGCAGCCCTTTAGTCCCAAATAAACACGTAGAGGCTTATATTAATTATAAACTGGCTCAGGCTCATTATTGGCTAGCTCTCTTTTAATTATTAACCTATTTCTATTAATGTCTGTCTTCACTTGGTCTTGGCTTCCCAGTAATGACTAGGTCTCTTACTTCCTCAGCAGCTACATGGCATCTCCCTGATTCCACCTACTACCTTTTTCTATTCTTGTTTAGATTTTCTGCCTGGAGAAATCCTGCCTGTACATTGGCCAAAACAGCTTTATTCATCAGCCAATAAGAGAAACATATATTCACAGCATACAGAAGGATATCCCCCCATCATGGAAAGTCAACAAACTTGATTAAGAGCACCACAACACTTAAAATGACTAAGAAGATAAATTTTATGTAGAATTCTGTCTGGGTCCAAATATCAATATGATATTTCGGATGCAAGGCCTCAAGCTCAATCCCAGGAGCTCGAATCTCCCATTCTTTCAGAAGCTGGCTGATTACCTTGGGATACCTGGCCTTGGTGGGGACTGGTTCCTAGTTGTGTAACAATAGATCTAGGCCCCTGGGTGGACTCACATCCATCATGGGGGCTGGTGGAACGTGCTTGGAGACTAGTAAGGGACTAGTGAGGACATGCAGTTTTAGGGGTGTCTCTAGGATTAAAAGAAATATTTGATATCAGCTTTATATATGATAATAGATGTCTTCTGCTCTCACCCCCAGTTTTGGAAAGCTATTTAAGAGGATGCTTGAATAAACCATGGACTCCAGCATGGACTGAGAGCCCTCCTGAGATGACAAAATGTCTCTGTCTCATCCTTAACGCCATTGGGTAACTAGGAGTTTCCTGATCTACACTCCCTCACTCAGGGTTGGACCCCGGGCTGTTCGGCTGTTTCCGATTGTAGCCCCCAAAAGACATCAGTCAGGAATAGATGACCTCTGTAGCATAGGGCAGATACAGGCTGGACCCCAGCAGCATTCTAAGCAAAATAAAAACAAAACCCACAGTAATAATGTAAAGGATGGGAGGAGAGTTTTGAGGGGTGATTTTTGTAGAATATTAGTTTAACTATGTAAAGATGTGTAGCATTTGTTTATGCTGTGGAATATTTGTTTAACTATGTAAAGATGTGTTGTATTTTTTTGCCTTGCCTGACTAAGGCACCTGATTGAGCTAATAAAAAGCTAAACGCCAATAGCTAAACAGGAGGTATAAGTGGGACTTCCAGGCTGAGAGAGTAAGGAAGAGAGGAATCTAAGCTTAAGAGAGACAGAAGACAGGGAGACACCAGGAAGACTCCCTGTGCTAGCTAGCCATACAGATATAAAGGAAGCAGGAAAGCAGGACACAGAATGGAACAAAGGTAAAAAGCCCTGAGACAAAACATAGAAGAATAAAAATAGGTTAAATTAAGCTATAAGAGTAGTGGGACAAGCATAAGCTAAAAGCTTTTATAAATAATAATTTCCCATGTCAGGAAATCCACAAAGACAGCTGACCCAAACTACTGGGACCTCATGGACTTTAGACACAGACTGCATGGGACTGCAGTAGGCCCTCTACATATGGGCAATAGTTGTGTAGCCTGATCTGTTTGTGGGAGCCCTGGCAGTGGGACCAGAATCTATCAATGGTTCATGAGCTGGCTTTTTGGAGCCCATTCTGTATGGTGGGATGCCTTGATGCAGTCGGGAGGGGCTTACTCCTGCCTCAGCTGATTGTGCCAGGCTTTGTTGATTCCCCATGGGAAGCCTTACTCTTTCTGGGGAGTGGATGGCAGGTTGATGGAGAATGTCCTTCTGTATGTTGTGAATATGTTTCTCTTATGGTTGATGAATAAAGCTGTTTTAGCCAATGAACAGGCAGAATTTAGCCAGGTGGGAAATCAAAACAGGGGTAGAGAAAGGTAATAGGTGGAGTCAAGGAGATGCCATGTAGCTAAGGGGAAGGTAGGAAGTCCAGGCATTTTTCAGTAAGACCACGTGGAGATACACAAATTAATAGAAATGGGTTGAGAATTAAGAGAGGTAGCCAATAAGAAGCCTGAGCCATCGGCCAAACAGTTTATAATTAATATAGCCTGTGTGTGTTTATTTGGGACTAAACAGCTGTGGGACAGTACGGGGTGGCAGAAACTTTTGTTGGGGGGAGATGGGGGAAGTGGGATGAGGGGATGAAGGGGGAACTGTGGTTGTATGTAAAATGAATAAAAAATTAAAGAAAGGAAATCTTGGTATCATTATTTGGGAGCTGGCTGGGGGCCCAAAGATAATTCCAGCTACAGGTGGTGATGATGCTTATGATCTTGATAATCATGGTTTCACAGGTATGTACTTATCCCCAGACTTGCACAGCATTTTGTCGGTGATATTCAATAAAGTTGCTTATATTTTTAAATTTCTATTGTGGCTGTTTTGTATTGTTACATAACTAACAGGCTATTGCTTATATCTAAAATTATACTTTCCTGCACGTTTACTGACCTAGTATGGCTATATTGCTAAATTTTTCTTATTGGTGACTTTGTTTCATTTTGTACAATCATATCATCTGAATAATTTTAAACTTTTTTTCCTTTTGGGGGAGTTTCAAGACAGGGTTTCTCTGTAGTTTTCGAGGCTGTCCTGGAACTCACTCTGCAGACCAGGCTGGCCTCAAACTCACAGAGATCTGCCTGCCTCTGCCTCACAAGTGCTGGGCCTAAAGGTGTGCACTACCAATGCCCAGCAACTTTTTTTTCCTTTTAAAACACTTTTATATTTACTTCTTTCCCTTACCTGGGGAAGAAAGAAATCATTCAGAACAACAGAAACAAGCTCGTTGGAGGATATAAACCTCCAGAAACATTGCAGGAATTCAGAGGTAGGAAAAAATAGATGACAAGTACCCCAACTTGAGGTGTCCTTGTTTTCTCTAGTGGGATAATGGTAGGCTCTGGAAATCTACGTATTTCATCATAGAGAAACTCACCTAACAGTGATTTGTATCATTTCATGTTCATACTGAGAGCTGATGACAGTTGTGCTTTCTTTTACAGTCACAAAGACCCAACAGCTTGACTTAAATGGACAGTGGCATCGTAGGGTGTGGCAGCCCATACCTTTGGTCCTAGCACTCAGGAGACAGAGGCAGTCGGAGTTCTGTAAAATCAAAAAGTGAGAGTTCTAGGACAGCCAAGGACACATAGAGAAACCTTGCCTCGAAAACCCAAAAATACATAGCAGACTAAGTCTTGTGTGTTCCATTACCTATGGTTTTGGAGAAATTATCATCAATTTAACCGTTTTTTGAGACTCTACAAAATTTTCATCATTAAAATCCAGGACAAGAATGATTTAAAACAGTATCAGTAAGACCTCCGAATCCCTCACTGAGACTGTCCTATGGAATTTATTTAAGTGGGCTGTCTTTTAATGTTTAGTTCACCGATAGCTTCCCAGTCTTAAAGAATGTTCCCTAAAAACTGTGTATTTGGTGTCCTCACTGAATTGTAGACTTCAGAAGGTCATGGCAGTGTGGCTTTAGATCTTTGTCTTTGACTAACCCTTCTCAACTCAAACAAATCCCCGCACAGAAAGGTGGCCATGCTTAAACCAGCTAGTATCTCAATAAGTCTCTGCCCATTAGTTTATAACGCTGACCTGTTTGGGGAAGTGGAAGTGGGTTCGGAAGTGAAGCCTGTAGGGACCACAGCAAGCGCACGCACAGCTGTCGGCTCACGCCTGCGCGCGCGCGAG